GTTGAACAGTTTAATCATCGTCATCCATATCAAATTCGAAAAAAATATCAAAAACATCAAAAACGTTCTCATTTTGTGGTCAATCACGCGTGTAAAACAGATGAGAAACCCAAACGAGAAAAGATTTTGCTGGCATTGAAGGTACTAGATTGAGTTTTGACATTTATTTTGTTAAAAGACAAGTTTAGAGTGGCTTTAACACAGTGCTAGGGGTAGAATTTATTGAACGTGATGAATTTGTGTTTGGTAACCGTTGCAAGCGCAAGCCCGTAATACTTTGTGGAGTTTCCCGCGGATTTACGGACTATCATCGACTTTTTGAACCTTTGTGGTAGTTTCGGTTTTTCGTTCATGATTTCAAAAGTGATAAAATTAATACAATCAAACTTAACCTTGACATATTTTGCAAATGATTCGCTTTATAATGAAGCCTTGAAATAGTGCATGTATTCATTCATACTTCCCTGCTCGATAAGCTCGTCAGTTTTATATCTCACTTCCAATATTTACACAAACATCTTACAGCTGCCGAGTTTAAAGACTGTGTAAGATCTTACAAAGTTTGTTTCTGTTGTTGAAAGAAATCTTTTATTATTATTTTTTTAAAATACATTACAGTTATTTGTTCTCGAAAATCCTCCATGTGCGAGCCAAGCATATACGCGTAATTAAATTACGCTTATATTCACTGGAGATAAAATAACTAATTTTAATTATATTTTGAAAGAAAACATTTTATGACCTTCGTTTGTGCCATCTCTATTTTCTTTTCACTTTGTCCCAGGTACTAAACAGCGACTGCTAGGTTTTTTTGCTTCATTTTCAGAGGAAAAACTGAGCTTTAACTTAACCCCTGATGTCAAATATTTTCAGTGCTGCTGTCACGGCTCCGTGCCCACGTCACGTTTTTGGCGGCAATTCTCATGGCCCGAATGATTTCAGATTTCTCGTATCTTGCGTATTCTATTGGGGACAAAATACTTGAAAATGATTGGTCTTTTCGATCTCCTTGGCAACAAAAGGGACCTTAAGCAATGACGACGGCGGCGCCAGGGACGACGTCTGGTAAATACTAGATTTCAGTTTTACTTTCGAATTTCGTAGCTATCGCAATCTGTTCAGCACACCAATATCTAAAACGAACAAGACCGTAGTACTGTAAATATGAGATTTTTCTTGTATAGATCTTCTGTAATAAAGGGTACAATAACCATTGTTCTGCTCATTAAACCTTTTGTTTGATGACCTTGTCATCCTTTTTCATCCGATTTCTTCCCTGGACAATAGGGAGCTTTAGCAACGACGACGTCGCCGAGGACGACGCCGAGGACGACGCCGAGGACGACGCCAAGTTAAAAATGAATTTATGTTTTACAAGCGAAATTCGCGATTGTCTGGATCTGTTCGGTATGCCAATGGCTCTAAAAACGTGCTTAAGCTGAATATGCAACGAAGGCGTTCATTTCCGAATGAAAATACAGAAAATTAGCTGTCGTCGTCCACGTTCCGTAGACGACGCAGAGCTGGGTCATTTCATGTTGTTAGGGACCTTACGCATATACGACGGCGACGGCGAGGACGACGCCTAGTAAAAAATGTGCCTCTTTTTTACTTTGGAATTTCGCATTTATTTGAAACTATCCAGTGTGTTTGTCGGTATTAAAATTTGCCCCTGCTGAATATGCTACGAATGCGTCCAGCTCCAAATAGAAATATGAAAAATTAGCCGTTGTGGTTCACGTTCTCCAGACAACGCAGAAATAGGTCATTTCACGTTGCTGTTTTGCAGAGGACGGCAAGGAAATNAGGGACCTTACGCATATACGACGGCGACGGCGAGGACGACGCCTCGTAAAAAATGTGCCTCTATTTTACTTTGGAATTTCGCATTTATTTGAAACTATCCAGTGTGTTTGTCGGTATTAAAATTTGCCCTGCTGAATATGCTACGAATGCGTCCAGCTCCAAATAGAAATATGAAAAATTAGCCGTTGTGGTTCACGTTCTCCAGATAACGCAGAAATAGGTCATTTCACGTTGCTGTTTTGCAGAGGACGGCAAGGAAATGTACCAAGAATTATAATTCACGTGCACAGCCATTATCATAGTTTGCTCATCAAACCTTTTGTTTAGCGACGTTCTCGTTACCGTTGCCGTCGTGTTTTGCGTAAGGTCCCTAGTGTGAACGGTGAACCTTCGTTCGGTAGGCCGAAGGTCGTTCGCTTTTTTAAATGTGTTTTAAAAATCTTTCAGCATTTAACTTTTTGATCAATGTATTTTCTAAATCTCTCCTGTTTTTAAATTCCCCCGGCTTAGTGTGGAGGGGGGCCTTTGATTCAGGACAGTGACGTGATCGGCTTAGTTTGGAATCTTCCAGCGCTTCCCACCAGCTGCTTGGTACTTGGCGACACAAATTTTAGCTGTTTGTTACGCAGTCACAAAACAAGGCTTCTTGTAAATAGTCTCGGTCTTACCTCCAATAAAAACGGCGCCACTGGTATATAAGTGTCTGTCGACTGGGACAGCAGGTTTAGAGAACGAATACAATGAAATCTCAGGGGATAATACCTCGCAGCGGGGACGAGTCTTAAAGAGAAAATAAAACAACAGTAATGTTCAAAAGTGTTACAAGTCGCAAAACTTGAGTCAGTTCTTAACTTACGGTAAGTTGCAATCAATTTTTCGCATTTTCTGTTTCAATGTACTTTGAAGTCTCCTTCAGCTGTTGTGTTTTTTTCTTTTTTTTTAATTCGGATTGTACGCGTCCTTTTTGACAAAAAAAAATATATATATATAAACTCACTTGATAGCTCCGATGACTGTTTGTACCAAAGGATAAATAAGTGGATCAAGGAGACCATTGCTCTTCACTTCACTGACTATACGGCACCAAAGATGAAGACAGTGAATATACTGCCAGTTATATACCGACTGATATGAAGCCTACAAGGCAGATATGAAGAATTATTTAGGCCCAGATACAAACCACATGTACAACCTTGCTCGAAACATTATTCAAACGATGGGTTCATATGCCGCAACATAGTTTTCATGTTTACCATTTTATGCTTATGGTGGTCGAACCAAGTAACCAAGAAGAACAAAACTTAGCTCCAGTTCTTTTGCTTTCTGAGAAAAAGTCGAAAACACGAAGAAGAAGGGAACCCAGATTGTGGTGTTTGGATGAGAGATTGAATAGGGAGTAGGCACGAAAATGATGATAGTTGTGCACCATCCTTGTCCACTAAGCTGAAGAGGTCTGAGGTGTACGCTACAACTCAGACATTGCACGCAAATTCTTGTAGTACTTATCCGAACCTGTATACAGTAGGAATTGCGGTCGCTTCGCCAGACAGTCAGTTCGCTTCAAGTCAGTTCCTCCGGACTGATAGTCGGTTCGCCCGGACTTAGGCTCCGTGGTCAAAGGATTAAAGAAAGAAATACCAATTTTGTTTCAGTATGTCTTTTTCACTCGGTTAGAGAAAGATAAATTTTAAGCACAACTTTCTTTGAACGTCAAGTCCGGGCGAACGGACTGTTAGTCCGAGGAAATTGACATCGGGCGAACTGGCTATCGGGCGAAACGACTGGTTACCTACCGTAGCAGCAGATTACAGCACGACCAGCTTCACGCATACTGTATTTTCCTACTCCACAAAAACGTCCACGTTACGAGCGTGGTAACTGGGAGAGAATGGGGTACCGTGTCTAAAAATAACTTGAGAAGGATTATCTTGAGACCAAGGCCTACTGTACATGCTATATGTGGGAACTCTGCAACCCTTCATTTTCTCTTAACTGTACCTTATGTATGACCTAGATCACGGCAAGCCAAACTATGCCACAAAACGTTGTTAACTGAATTCTCAGTGAGAAGGAAACAGTGAGGATGAGCAAACAATACCTTCTTTTTCTGCATAATAGCATTCCTGAGGTGAATTGCAAGTTGCCTGATGTACACAAACCCATGTTGGTAAGTAAGATGATCGTCCAAACTGAAAATCTCCACAAGCGAGTTCTGCATGAAGGTGATGACTGGCTTTGTCTTAGGAGACGTAAACTTTGTATTCTTCACAAAATTCATGTACAATTGCTGAAAATTTGAAAACAAAAGCATTAAAGTGTACTTTGTAGTATACTATAAGTTAAACAAGAATCTCAGAGAATTAAAATTCTTAGCTGATCTTTGTACTTTTCCTTGCAGTTTTTGGCTAAACAATGAGTGTGTAAATGCTACTCAATGACCAGATTATCAGCTCAAGATTTCTATCGCGTGAGACACAGAGAAATCGAGAGCAAATACACGTAGTCTAATTGGTATAGTATAAATCTACTAGTCATTTAAGACGTTGTCTAAATCCTCTTCTCAGACACTTCAGAAACACAAAGAAGCGGCCGTCATGTTGCTAACAGCCGCACAGTGCAAGGCTACTCACTATCTACAACAGACTAGATAGTGAGAAGCGTAGCCAATCAGGGAGTGACGTTATATATTTGTGATAGTCAACACTACAAAACTTTACTAATTTTTAATATTTTTTAAGTTAACATAATAAACTGGTACTACAGGCATAACTTGTACATCTACATGTAATAGTGTATTACCAAAACCAACCTTGACAGAAAACTCTAAGAGTGAAGATGGCATCATGGTAGCGACATTTCTGATGCCAAGGAAAGCAAGAACCCTGACATGTTCTTCACCACGGCTCCACATTCTGACTGATCGCTGAAATGCAACAAAAAATCAAAATGCTATTATATTCAACTTATTTTGCATGCATGTAAACTTGCAGTCAATCTTCACAACACATACAAACTCAAAATATCATTCAAGCCATCTATATACTAACAATCATTTATACCATGCAACAGAAAATACAGCTAATCAGAATACAGCAATGTCTATTGTACATTATTATATGGCTGAGTCTCACAAGGACTGGGAACTAGTGAATTCACGAATTTCATTCACTGAAATCAATATTGAAAGCGGTCTAGATTTTCCCATCTATACTGACATCTAGATCGGTTACATTTTGCGGTGAAAAAATTGCAAACTAAACTGCAAAAATATTGACTATTTTCTTCTAACAATGTTTATTTGTGGAAATGCCAAAAAGCCTGATGAGAAAAAAGTAAAGAGCAAACTTTGGCAGAATTAAGTTCGCCTCACTGCCGTTTGCGAGCAAAATGTCAGTTAGTGCAAACCAGTTACATTAAACAAATTAAATTGTTATTGTTTGCCACATAATAAACATCTTATTAACCAAGCTTAGTTGGTCTGTATGGGAGAATCTTGACCTCAGTTGTGTGTACAGACCTCACAGCGTTCGGTCTGTACTCATGACCTTGGTCAAGATTCTCCTATACAGACCTCCTGCTCGGTTAATAAGAGCTAAGTATAAAATAATTATGCAAAGAAAGGCTCAATGTGTATTACCAAGAAAATACAAGTGTCCCATGGGATATTCCACAGTTATTAAAAACTGGATCATTGGATAATGCAATTCAAGAGTTTTCAAGCCTTAAGTTTTGTTCCTAACTTTGCATGCTTCAGGAATACAGTCAGGTTCTTTATAAGAAGAACAATTTATTCTCACATTTTCTGACACCAATGTGCATTAAACAGATGACTGTTGGCGAGTTAATGGATCAACCTGCCAAACTGTTATAAACTGTTGTACAACAATTATCTTTGGAGAAAAAGAGAGAAAGTTTTGCAGTCTACCTGGACAGTAAATTTGAAGTGGCCACCGGAGTTAACTTCATTGAATAACCAGAGATCAAACTAACATCAGATGGTAATATTCCTTGTTCGTTATTAACACTTTGCATGATTAGTCAAAGGTAGTAGGGGTAAAAGCTCAAGACCCACAAATTGAGCCTGTATTTAAATTTGTGTTATGCGAAACACTCATATTCTCAAAGCACCAATATTATTACCGGTAGTAGTAGACATTTAACTAAAGCCATTTGGAATCTAAAATAAAAACAGTAAAATAATGTAGAATGATACAACTATAGCCATTACCTTAATAAAAGCTCTAGCCACCTTGGGGAAGCATGCATAGTAAGGAGACAACTGCTGTGCATGCCGCAAGATTACACACAACATAGACGGTTCAGCAAGGGTCCGCAGGAGCTGTTAAGGAAACAATGTGAACAAATTTATAATAATTTTTTTGGCTTCAATCAACACAAGTAAGCTAAGTGTATTCCATTATTTAACTGACGATGCACATACCTGCAAAACATCATTGAGGTAATGTTTGACTGGTGTCTTTACTTGAGACCACTTTGTATGCGAAGAAGGAAGAACTCTATAGTGTGAGAGAATGAAAGAACACATCTTATAATTTATTATGATAATCAATCACTGCAAATCTGAGGTTAGCCTAGTTTAAGTTTTCTTAGTTCATTGTCTACATGTGTACAATGATCTCTCCCTGACCGACCGACCAACCAACTGACTGACCAACCAACGGACTGACCGACTGGCCGCAGCACTCAGGGTGATCGACTACTGAGTCAAGACACAATGTACACGTATACAATCTAGAGATTTGCAAACCTTTTTCCATGTTTGTTATGTGTTCCTCCAACATGGTGAAACAGCACTGGGTAAACTTGTTTCAAACAAAGCTGAATGATAGCATTGAATACTGTAAAAACAAAGCCATTAATAAATTATCGAAAACATTTTTTCTACACAAAAACCTTGGTGGCCAAATAATTCTTTCTTCTGAAGTGTTCCAAGTTCACTCAGTAATATTGTTGCGAGGCAAATCGAGCCTAATAGTTATAATTTTAATTTGTTACACCTTGGATCAAGTGGTTGAGGTTTGAGCTTGGCTGGGGTCATTGTGTTCTGTTCCTGGGCAAGAAACTAGATTCATAATGTCACTCACCCAGGAGAATAAATTGATCTCGGCAGATAATTGTGAGATGAACAGAACAAAAATAGAGGTAATAGCCTACATGGACTATACTGTATACCATATACTATACCCTCTTGATTTAGTAATTGTTGATGGCGATCAGCCTTTTGGCTCTTTGATCCCTTGGATCAAAACAAATTTCTTCAGTTGTTACCTTTAAGACAGGTATATATGTAAAAATTTATCACTCAAATATTAATTAACATTGAAATGCTTTTTCACAGGAATAGTGACAAAATATGGCACTTACATACATTGCTATCTGATTTCTTTCTTTCTCCATTTACGCCTATTACCTGTGTCTCCCTCAACTTTGAATGTCAAACGTGGCTGTGACTTGTCATCACCACCAATGTCAAGGGCTCCATGCACAGCTGACCGGAATGCTCGAAGGGTTTGTTTCAGGGAGTGAAGTGAATTTTTCTATTCAAAGAAAACCAACAATTGAATATATTTTATTGATTAACAAAGTTTTGGTATGATTCAGTTCATGGATCTGGTAGCCTGCAGAGGAAATGGTAGCAGATTGCTACTGGGTTTGTCAATTAAAGTATAGCCATACATTATCTCAATGCTGAATTATATAAAAATTCTTTTGGTGATACATGTAACTGACATTATTTTTATGGTGGTGTCATCAAAGCTGGCACAAGTGACTGGCATTTTTCACCCCAATGCAAATGCTTGTTAAAATTATGCATTTATTAGAAATATCTCACCTCAAGCCCTGTCCTCCACTGTTTAATCATCTCCAGAGTAACTGTTTTGCCCACATCCTTTTCGTTTTCTGTATCTTCCTCACCCAGGTCATCATCATCATCTTCCTCATCAGATTCATCCGTCTTTTCTGTGCTCTAACACAACAAAATATCACATTAAAACAGTAAGAAACTTAAAGGCAACAAAGCATATATTGTCAAAGGCTGAAATTGAAAAGGTTTTAGAAGGAGGTATTAAATACTGATTTCTTTATTGTTAAATTTTCTTACAAGTAATCAGTGAATACTAGATTAGCTACATGTACATATAACTGTTGTACAAGAATAGCATATGTATTCATTTAATATCCTTTCAAAGATGCCTACTTTTTTGTGTTTTTTATCATTCTTGCTGTCTTTGCTTTTACCATCATCTTCAACATCATCATCATCATCATCATCATCATCACTTTCCACCTCTGAGCCAGTATCCGAGTCATTAAAATCCAGTAACTCTTTATCATTTTCCTTCAAAAACTTGAAGAACTCAGGATCCTTTTCCTCTAACCTTGCAAGCTGGTTCTTATGATCTGCACTTTTTGACTTTCTGAAAATATAATTAGAAGAGTAATCCATGAATGACCAGTCAAATTTTGCTGGTACTGTGGGTTAATTCAAGGAAGTGAATGTATGCCTTTACAATGGTTGACATTTACAACACTTATTATCCCAAGAAATAATATGAATGTGTTCTTCAGAAAAACTTGCAGTGCTAGTATAGAGGGCCTGGTAGCCCAATTGTTGGTGCACTGAACTCTGGATCAAGTTAGTCAGATGTGAACCATGGCCAGGGACATTGTGTTGTGTTCTTGGGCAAGACAATTTACTCTCTCAGTGTCTCTCTACACCTAGGTGTGTAAATGGGTGCAAGCGAAATGTTACAGCAACCTAACAGGATTCTATTCAGAAGTAATCTGTGACGGACTAGCATACCATCCTGGTATCAATACTTTTAGCCACTTTATGCTAAGGAAACTAGATAAGTTGTAGAAGCTATAGGCCAGCTGGGCTTCAAAGGCTTTACTTTTCTGTTCCTCTTACAACGATCAAAGTCACACAAAATCATCATTTAATAGTTATTTATCTTGTTTCTTGTATTAAAATTAATCTTAGTCGCTTGGTCAGTAAATTGATTTCTCTGACCGTTCTTGACTTCTTCATGATATATACAGCGGTTTTTAATGTGCTGATTGCATCTAATTTGGCGTTAAATTATTCCTTTTACTCGATTTGTAGCACATAAATGGAATAGTTAGATATTATACAGTTACGACAGTAAGAACATTGATTACTTTGTATGTTGCTGGGAGCAATCTTTAACTTCTGTTTGAGAAACGTTTTTGGCCGCCATTTTAGGTTCGTTGTCGTCCTCACAAACGTCTGAATCAAACCCATGCATCATAAACTCTTCAGCATCCATGTCGCATAATCTCCTGTGGAACACAGAGCAATTTTTCATCGATTGATCTCCGAGAATATTACAAAATATAACAAACAGTCCAGGTTCACCTTTTCTTGTTCGCGTCCGCCATCTTGAAACACGTGCAAATACCGCTGGCTATAAGTCTGCGGATTCGGTTGAATATTACAAATGCTTTCATTGGTTGACATTTTGCAGCTCAATCCAATGATTGCTTAGCTTTGAATGACACTTTGCATCGCTCAAAGAGAACCAATATGGCGTCTGAGGTTAGTCTGTGTTGTAATTCCTCCTTGTGAATTCTAACCTTATAATAATGACAAAATTTAAACTGTAATCGTTTTCTTGTTAAGCTTGATGACGCTGCCATGAAGAAAGAGAAAGAGATACGTCAGAAAAGAGTAAGAATTGTTTTTTTCTTTGGTGAATTATGTGTCTGTTTATGCTTGGATGGAAATTTGCGGAAAGTTTTTATCTCACGTTACACACTGTTTACGATTCATTTCAAAATTTCAATATCCCCCTCCTCGGGCAAGTCCCGGGCGTTTATTGGACATTTTGAATTTTCAGTTGGTCAAATTTCCGATCTTCCCATCTCCCTCTGCAAATGTCTCACCATAGAGGCATACTAGATACTCAAAGACCCTATTCCCGGGACGGGCGTAGCAAAAATGAATAATGGAAAAGATTTGCAATAAAAGATTACCCTCAAATACCGGCTTTGAATTTCTAGCTTCAGCAGGACATTGAGGCAACTTTTCCCACCCCTCCCCCNTTAGTTCATTGTCTACATGTGTACAATGAACTCTCCCTGACCGACCGACCAACCAACTGACTGACCAATCGATGGACTGACCGACTGGCCGCAGCACTCAGGGTGATCGACTACTGAGTCAAGACACAATGTACACGTATACAATCTAGAGATTTGCAAACCTTTTTCCATGTTTGTTATGTGTTCCTCCAACATGGTGAAACAGCACTGGGTAAACTTGTTTCAAACAAAGCTGAATGATAGCATTGAATACTGTAAAAACAAAGCCATTAATAAATTATCGAAAACATTTTTTCTACACAAAAACCTTGGTGGCCAAATAATTCTTTCTTCTGAAGTGTTCCAAGTTCACTCAGTAATATTGTTGCGAGGCAAATCGAGCCTAATAGTTATAATTTTAATTTGTTACACCTTGGATCAAGTGGTTGAGGTTTGAGCTTGGCTGGGGTCATTGTGTTCTGTTCCTGGGCAAGAAACTAGATTCATAATGTCACTCACCCAGGAGAATAAATTGATCTCGGCAGATAATTGTGAGATGAACAGAACAAAAATAGAGGTAATAGCCTACATGGACTATACTGTATACCATATACTATACCCTCTTGATTTAGTAATTGTTGATGGCGATCAGCCTTTTGGCTCTTTGATCCCTTGGATCAAAACAAATTTCTTCAGTTGTTACCTTTAAGACAGGTATATATGTAAAAATTTATCACTCAAATATTAATTAACATTGAAATGCTTTTTCACAGGAATAGTGACAAAATATGGCACTTACATACATTGCTATCTGATTTCTTTCTTTCTCCATTTACGCCTATTACCTGTGTCTCCCTCAACTTTGAATGTCAAACGTGGCTGTGACTTGTCATCACCACCAATGTCAAGGGCTCCATGCACAGCTGACCGGAATGCTCGAAGGGTTTGTTTCAGGGAGTGAAGTGAATTTTTCTATTCAAAGAAAACCAACAATTGAATATATTTTATTGATTAACAAAGTTTTGGTATGATTCAGTTCATGGATCTGGTAGCCTGCAGAGGAAATGGTAGCAGATTGCTACTGGGTTTGTCAATTAAAGTATAGCCATACATTATCTCAATGCTGAATTATATAAAAATTCTTTTGGTGATACATGTAACTGACATTATTTTTATGGTGGTGTCATCAAAGCTGGCACAAGTGACTGGCATTTTTCACCCCAATGCAAATGCTTGTTAAAATTATGCATTTATTAGAAATATCTCACCTCAAGCCCTGTCCTCCACTGTTTAATCATCTCCAGAGTAACTGTTTTGCCCACATCCTTTTCGTTTTCTGTATCTTCCTCACCCAGGTCATCATCATCATCTTCCTCATCAGATTCATCCGTCTTTTCTGTGCTCTAACACAACAAAATATCACATTAAAACAGTAAGAAACTTAAAGGCAACAAAGCATATATTGTCAAAGGCTGAAATTGAAAAGGTTTTAGAAGGAGGTATTAAATACTGATTTCTTTATTGTTAAATTTTCTTACAAGTAATCAGTGAATACTAGATTAGCTACATGTACATATAACTGTTGTACAAGAATAGCATATGTATTCATTTAATATCCTTTCAAAGATGCCTACTTTTTTGTGTTTTTTATCATTCTTGCTGTCTTTGCTTTTACCATCATCTTCAACATCATCATCATCATCATCATCATCATCACTTTCCACCTCTGAGCCAGTATCCGAGTCATTAAAATCCAGTAACTCTTTATCATTTTCCTTCAAAAACTTGAAGAACTCAGGATCCTTTTCCTCTAACCTTGCAAGCTGGTTCTTATGATCTGCACTTTTTGACTTTCTGAAAATATAATTAGAAGAGTAATCCATGAATGACCAGTCAAATTTTGCTGGTACTGTGGGTTAATTCAAGGAAGTGAATGTATGCCTTTACAATGGTTGACATTTACAACACTTATTATCCCAAGAAATAATATGAATGTGTTCTTCAGAAAAACTTGCAGTGCTAGTATAGAGGGCCTGGTAGCCCAATTGTTGGTGCACTGAACTCTGGATCAAGTTAGTCAGATGTGAACCATGGCCAGGGACATTGTGTTGTGTTCTTGGGCAAGACAATTTACTCTCTCAGTGTCTCTCTACACCTAGGTGTGTAAATGGGTGCAAGCGAAATGTTACAGCAACCTAACAGGATTCTATTCAGAAGTAATCTGTGACGGACTAGCATACCATCCTGGTATCAATACTTTTAGCCACTTTATGCTAAGGAAACTAGATAAGTTGTAGAAGCTATAGGCCAGCTGGGCTTCAAAGGCTTTACTTTTCTGTTCCTCTTACAACGATCAAAGTCACACAAAATCATCATTTAATAGTTATTTATCTTGTTTCTTGTATTAAAATTAATCTTAGTCGCTTGGTCAGTAAATTGATTTCTCTGACCGTTCTTGACTTCTTCATGATATATACAGCGGTTTTTAATGTGCTGATTGCATCTAATTTGGCGTTAAATTATTCCTTTTACTCGATTTGTAGCACATAAATGGAATAGTTAGATATTATACAGTTACGACAGTAAGAACATTGATTACTTTGTATGTTGCTGGGAGCAATCTTTAACTTCTGTTTGAGAAACGTTTTTGGCCGCCATTTTAGGTTCGTTGTCGTCCTCACAAACGTCTGAATCAAACCCATGCATCATAAACTCTTCAGCATCCATGTCGCATAATCTCCTGTGGAACACAGAGCAATTTTTCATCGATTGATCTCCGAGAATATTACAAAATATAACAAACAGTCCAGGTTCACCTTTTCTTGTTCGCGTCCGCCATCTTGAAACACGTGCAAATACCGCTGGCTATAAGTCTGCGGATTCGGTTGAATATTACAAATGCTTTCATTGGTTGACATTTTGCAGCTCAATCCAATGATTGCTTAGCTTTGAATGACACTTTGCATCGCTCAAAGAGAACCAATATGGCGTCTGAGGTTAGTCTGTGTTGTAATTCCTCCTTGTGAATTCTAACCTTATAATAATGACAAAATTTAAACTGTAATCGTTTTCTTGTTAAGCTTGATGACGCTGCCATGAAGAAAGAGAAAGAGATACGTCAGAAAAGAGTAAGAATTGTTTTTTTCTTTGGTGAATTATGTGTCTGTTTATGCTTGGATGGAAATTTGCGGAAAGTTTTTATCTCACGTTACACACTGTTTACGATTCATTTCAAAATTTCAATATCCCCCTCCTCGGGCAAGTCCCGGGCGTTTATTGGACATTTTGAATTTTCAGTTGGTCAAATTTCCGATCTTCCCATCTCCCTCTGCAAATGTCTCACCATAGAGGCATACTAGATACTCAAAGACCCTATTCCCGGGACGGGCGTAGCAAAAATGAATAATGGAAAAGATTTGCAATAAAAGATTACCCTCAAATACCGGCTTTGAATTTCTAGCTTCAGCAGGACATTGAGGCAACTTTTCCCACCCCTCCCCCNCCCCGTCCCCCTTGCTCTCCTACCCCTCACGCGTATATGGTGTCAAATTCCCCTCCCTAAAGCCAACCACAGACTCCATGGGGACATCAACTAGTCACATGTCAGGAGTATGTCCCAGAGAGATTTTGATGTTTCTATTTGATCGATACAGTATGCTATCTTTCCCATAGATTGACACTGCAGTCAAGTTTTTACAAAATCCAAAAGTACGGGAAACCCCCATGTCTCAAAGGAGAGCTTTCCTTGAGAAGAAAGGTATTAAATACATTAAACTTAATATATATAAGATTTATTTTGTTGTTGTGTTAAATAAATTGTCAGTTGTTTTGTTTGCTTGTTTGTTTGTTTGTTTTTCAAATGAGTGGAAAATGCTTCATTACATGAATTGTATATAAACTTAAATTTGCAGGTTAAAAGTTTTAATATATAAGCTTTGAAGTACCTGTCTTTATTATCATTCTCTTATTTTAGATCTCCCACACATATCAAAAATTTACTACCCAACTGTGTGGCAACACAATTTCAGTATCTTTTTCAACCTACATGTGTCTTGTTACAGGGCTGACAAAAGATGAAGTTGAGGAAGCCATCAGACTATCAGGAACAGCTGCAGATGAGGTGAAGATCATAAAAAATAAAAAACTTCAAGTAGTATTTAAAATTCCCCCTGTTTTAAACTTAAGCAGTAGAGCACTTTTTCTGTATTTACATAGCCTCATCTAAACACTTAGAGGGTTGGGAGAATTTAAGACAGTTATGCAAACCCAAGACGTAGTCAAAGGCTTGTGTAACTTTCGAGAATTCTCCCAACCCTCCGAGTGTTTAGATGAAACTATGTAAACACAAGTAGTATTTAAAATTCCCCCTGTTTTAAACTTAAGCAGTAGAGCACTTTTTCTGTATTTACATAGCCTTATATAAACACTTAGAGGGTTGGGAGAATTTAAGACAGTTATGCAAACCCAAGACGTAGTCAAGGGCTTGTGTAACTTTCAAGAATTCTCCCAACCCTCCGAGTGTTTAGATGAAACTATGTAAACACGGAAAAAGTGCTCTATTGCTTTTATAAAATAATCCTCAAAAATACACGCATATCTAAAACGTCACAACCATGTTTACGTACTCTCATCTAAACACACCTATCGACCAATGAGAGTGTGCGTAGTAGCTCAGTTATTTTATAAGTTTTTTTCACAGTTTTCCAGTCTCTTAGCACTTGACATTCAAGCTTACAAGACGAAATTTTGTATATCTGTATAGACTAAACGTTGTTATTTTGCATTTTTAGACTTCGCCACCTATCAGCCCTCCAGTTCTCCCTCAGAGGGGAGCAAGGGCTCCAACCTCAAGGTTGGTAAACAGAAAAGCTTGCTTGCATTGATTGTATTTTCAAGCAAACATTCATCGGGTAATGAGAGAAAAGAAATTCAAGATTAAATTATGTTGCTTGTAAAATGACCAACTGAGTAACCAGGCCACAAAACTTGCTTATGCAGTGACTTATTTCTTCTGTGGGTCATCCAGCTGGGCTGCAGACTTCGACCATCTTTTACATTAAATGTAAACCACCCTTTTTTGCCCTAAGATGAAAAATAAGTAAAACAAACTGTAATTAAATAACCTTTTATTGATTAAGCCAAAAAGATCACTGTCTCAAAAGAGTAAATTAAAATGAAATGAGCTGAGTAAGGTAAAGGCATTGTCTACATTGAGCCAAGCAGCCCATCACACCAGAGCTGGAGCTTATGCTGGTTTCTTCAGCATGAAGCAACTAGGACTATTCCTACTCCCCTGTGGACAGGCTGCTGGTCCATCACAGGGTTACCCCCAGCATTAAATTTGCCAGTACCCATTATTTTATAAAATACACCTGGGTGGAGAGGGGCACTGTGAGAGTAAAGTGTGTTGCCCAAGAACACAACGCAACGTCCCTGCCCAGGGCTTGATTTACCCTGACCACTCGACCCAGAGTCAAGTGCACTAACCATGAGGACACTGCGCCGAGTCCCAAAAAATAGCTGAGTACTCACATGTAAATTTACAACCTTTATCCCAGTTGTAAAACTCAATACAGAAAAAAAAATCATTGATAAATAAAACAAGTAAATTTGGAGCATGCCATCTTTTCTGTTGGTAAAATGAATACCTTTTAGCCAGCAATGTACTACTTTCAGATAATTATACTTAATAGTAAGTTGAATAGAGTTCAATATTCAAAGTGTTTTTACCAGCTTATTTACTCATGATATTTGTAATATTATTTTGTCAGCTATGTCCCACCACCCCCAGTACCCTGGAGAAGTTATGTTGGAGCTGCCATCTTGGGAGGAGGGATTGGGTATTCTGTGGCTCATCTTTTTAAGGTACACACCTGTAGTCTATAACAAACTGATCACACTCAAGTACACTTACCCATGGGAATGAAAAATGGAAATCGCAATTCCATTATCAGTTGCAGTATTAATTTTATCGCGTGAGTAATTCAAGGATGGAACATATTCTTTTCCAGACATTCATTCTACCATACATTTATCACAAGAAGAGTGTAGAGGAGGAGAAACTGGACAAAATAGAAACAGCTGTGACAGAACTTCAAGGCAACATGGTGGACACAGGTAAGTTTCTCTTCTCAAAATCCAAAGTAGCTTTTTTGGTGTATTTGCCAGCATCCAGATTACATGCCTCTTTAATTTTGCTTCCAATGTAAAGGTCAGGAAGAATTGAGATTGTATTAAAGAACAGGCTTGTCATATCAAGTTAATAGCTTAGCTTATATACCTTTTTTTGTATATTTTTACTACAGCAGAGCTGTGTAAACTTTGAGTTCTACCTATCCAACATTGTATTTCAATGTCTAAATGTTTTATTTGTGCAAGTTCAATTGACGGCAATTGCGCAAAATTTAGGGTAGGCTTAATTAAATCTGACTAACTTTTTTTTTATTCTTTAATTCCATCCAAGTTCAAAAAAGGTTAGATTCTGTTCAGGTGAGTGATACCAGCCACAAAAGCATAAATAATGTTCTATAGAATTAATAAATAATTATTATGACTATCTTTTTTTTAAGATCTTAAAATTAAAATGTGTTACAACGACAGCTGTCAGAAGTTGAAACAAGTACTGTTAACAACTAAATAAATCAGTTTCTATGACAGTGCAACATTCAGTGGTATGGTTTACAAATGTACAGTCAAAAATATGATATCAAATTACTTACTGGTACAAGCTTTCCTTTTCCTTAACAGTATGTTTGTCATGAAGATCATCTTGTCTTTTAATCCTAAGTCTATATATTTAAGACAGTAGAGTGTAAAATTCTATGGCAGAGGACTCAAGAACTTTTAAGATTAAGTTACTGAGAGCATGATGACAACCATATTAATGAGAAGAAGAGATGGCAAACCATTGATAGAGTATGTGGCTCGAGCAAAGATCAAATGGTCACTTATCAGCAGAATTTTTCAAACAGTTCACTCTCATCTTCAAGCCTGAAAACATAGTCCACAATTTCTCCCCAAATTGCCTTTTTAAAACTTATTATTATTCCATTTGCTTTCAAGCAAACATTTTGAGGTTTTTTGAATTAGGCATCCCTTAGATTCTTTGCTTCTGGAAATAAGACTTCACATCCTGCCAAGACAGGCCGCTATGTTTTTTGACTATGGGTTACATGTAAGGTATGATTTTCATGGGCAGCAACACATTCAATCTAATTTTTTTTTTCAATTCAAATTTGCTGTAGGGTCTTTTAGAACAACAACAAAGCAAGCTTCATAGTTTAGCTCTGGACCTAGCTTCAACTCAGGTAAAATGATCAATTTTCAGCGATCTCTAATGTCAGCAATTCAATTGATAGGATATTGCAGCTGTGATGTAACACCAAATTATTGATTGAAACCTTAAAGAGCAGTACATCAAATTGTACATTTCCCTGTGTAATATTGAAATTATTATTTAATATTATTTGTTTAAAATTAAAATAAGGTTTCAAGGGTTTAATTGATTATTCAGCCCGCAGGTGGACATTTGTGTGAGCCAGTTTAATTTTAATTAGTTTATTACAATGTCATGGTAAATTGGTCACATTTAGCCAGTTTGACATGTCATGCAATGTAGGTTTTGTTGGTAAACATTTATTCTGGTCTATACCAATATTTCCTTGCAAAACTGCCAAACAGTGATAAGGATCTGTTTTTCTGCAGTCAAAGGTTGCATTGTTACCTTCAGAAAGTTACACTGTGGGTGATTTGAAAGGAGAGATACTCTCACTCAAAGGACTTCTTCTAAACCGGTAATTTAATACACCTTGTTTCTACATGTACTGCCATGTATTTAATAATTGTACATGTATTAGTAAGTAACAAGACTGTTTTTGCTACATGGACATATGAGTGAATAGTCAACAAGGAACAGCTGACTTGGGAATTGCTCGTGAATGGAAAAGAAGGACAAGTAATCAAATTGTCTTTAGTTATTAGAAGACACTAAAGGATTCCAGTCCAATCCTTACAATTGTGTGTATTTAAATCCAGAATAACTGTCCCTTTCAAAATCAACATGTGTGTGATCATATCCTATCAGCAATTGAAAGGCTCGGTGGAAAATGGGTGTTAATTAGTCATTTTTGGCTAAAATTGAACATTGCCAAAACAGCTCCAAATTTCACATGCAGGTTTGTTTAGTAGTGTTAAACAATTTCCTCTATTTTGCTTCGTTTTCCAGGTATAATATATGCAAAAAAGTAAGTTTTTCTAGCAACATCTTTTTGTTGACTGCCAAACAAAAGACACATTTTGCATTTCGTTTCACTGAACCAATCAGTGAAGGTGATAATAGCTGCTAGGTGTTTGAGCCAACAAGCACTGGTCTTACCAATTCCACTTGAGCCACCATGGTAGAAAAAAGCTAGAGTTGCTCTCGGCTGCACTTAGAGCAACGCTTTGCTTGTGCTCTGTAGTTAGGGTGCACTTCTTTAGTATGAGGCTCACCCAGATCAGTGATCCAAGATCAGCCAGATAATGGTACATCAAAGACATCACTGCATCCATTCTGGGCAGTGATCCATCAGTTCCTCTGGCATACCATTATGTGAGTGATCTTGGCTCAATGGTCCTGGTACAGGTCATCCTAACAGAATTGTACACCCTAAGAGTTGGACTCTGGATCAAGATGTCTGGGTCTAGGCTTGAAAAGACTTGGCAAAAAGTGTTCTTAGCCAAGAATAAATAGGCACTAAAAAGTACTTTTTAGGATTTTTCACAGAATATCCTAAGTTATTGCTAGTAGCAGAAGTCAGTGGTGCTCAGTGCCCTTGCTCCTACCAAATGTTTGAAAATAAAAGTGTTAAGCCATTAAGTCCCTGCTGCATATACTGTGAATAATCTAATTTTAATCAACTATTATTATAATAATTGTGATTTTTCCAGAAAGCAGTTTCCTTCTCCAATGGTAGGCTCCACCCCAGCTGCTCCCAGCATTCCAGCATGGCAACGTAATGTTACTGTAACTTCAACTGAACGAACAAGAACAACATCTTCCCTGACTGACTCTTCTGAAACACCTGGTGTAACACAACCCTTAGACAGCAAAGAGCAATCCTCTAGCAAGGTGTTTTCCCTTGAGCATAGTAGCATGAACGGTGGGTCTGACTCCTGAGAGGTTTTGTTCAATATCCTATTATTATTCCAAACTATACTATAATGATCTTGGTGGCTTTTATTTAAATAGTCAGGCCTGTAGACTTCTTCAAATGCTAGCCTTGTGTCTTGGAGAAATCAGTAAACGTTTTCCCTTTCCTTCAGCAACTTACTAAATATATATCTTCATGTGATGTTTAAACGTGCTACGTCACAGTTTACACATATTTAGTCTCAATTTTTCAAATTCATCGTTTGCAATCCGTGTTAATCTTCTCCATCCTTAGCCATCCTTAGCCATCCTTAACTTGTTCCTTTATGGTTTATCATTATCTCTTTGGTGTTTTGCTATCTTATTAAACTGTTATCTTCAGGTTTCCTACCATTTAAAGGTAATTTTGTATGTGACCAAAATAACTCAAAATACTGTGACTGAGCTCCTTTAAATTGCATTTCTTGTCTTCAAATGCACTTAACACCCTGACGATAGAGCCCCTTTAATGATTCAAAAATAATATGTTTTCACTACAGGCGATTTGCCCGAAGATTTTGAGCCCAGCATAAAAACACAAGACGCTGCAAGCTTGGAGGACAGTCCTGCTGAACAGAGTAGTACATCAAGCAGTGAAACAGATACTGCTAACACACCCAACACAGTTGTCCCAGCAAATGAGAGGAGTCTCAATGATGCCATGCTTAACAACACAAGTGTTGTAAGCTCGGACACCAGCCTCTCATCCATGTCTGATTTATCAGGAAGTACATCTTTCCATGACACCTCTATAGCTTTCTCTTCAACTTGCATCAAAGCTCCATCAGATATGACCTTGCCTTCTGATTCTACTCTTGAATTTGAAGGTGTGAATGATTCTGTAGCAAAGGTACAATAAGGAGTTGAGTTGTCAACAATTTTCATCATCTAGTACATAGTGAGTCCTGACAAGCAAAAAGGAACTTAAAATAGTTAACTATTTCAGGAGAGGCCGAGAAATGATTGTGACATTATCTTGTATTTAATAAAAAGAATTATGAGGTTACATATTTCTTGAAAATGTTTCACAATGCAAAAAATCAGACCAAATTAAATCCCCTGACTATCAAAACAAAGATGAAATATTGTGGGTTACACTAGGTAACAGGTTGTATTGGGGAAGGGAAGGTTGATGTAAAGAAAACGAAGTCAGAAAAAGACAAGTTGAAGTGTATGCAGACCTTGTCAGTGTTTTAGCAGTGGTCCAGATTATTCACAGCCAACTAAATGATCTTAAATTCATTGACAAAAACAACTCAACACTCTCTTACTGTAACCTGCAGGTCAGTGATTTAAGGGCAGGGATTTCTCATATAAAAGATTTCTAGGACATGTATTATAAATGACAGGAACAGACAGCTCTCTTTATCATTAATAATATATATTAAATGTACGTTCACTGTATCCGGTAAACTTACGTTTGTTCCATTAATTTTTAGATTTCAGTACTTAAAAGAACTTGTTTTGTAATATGAAACAAGTACGTGTAAACATTTCTGCACTCGTCTCTAAATTTGCCATAACCATATACTTGTTCACTGTATGAGGTTGTTATTTAGTAATCAGCTAAAATTAATAAAACATACTATTTTATACAGTATAGAATTTGCCTTTTAAGACCCAAGTTAGAAACAAACTCACTACAATTCATCACTAACAGTACTTGAACTCTTAATTGAACATATCATCACTTTTATTTCAAGTCTCATAACAAAAAAAGAAAAATTAACTGTACAGGTTGCCTATAAAAATCATGTACAGTTTTAAAATACCAGGTAATAATTTCTATCAAAACTCAAGCGTTATAAATGGCATTTGGAAATAACTAGTTATTAATAATACACTAGCCATTGGGATAGCAAGTAGATGAAATTCTCTTGCTGGATCCAAAATTTGCTCGTCCATGATTATTGCTCATTACTTTGGCAACTTTTGCTTTTTCTATACCTTTCATCAAAACAATTGTGAGGTTTATACAATATTATAACACTTGTTTTATCTTTGAACACAGTTCTAACTGTTCCTTATAGACAGATAGACTGGTACATAATAACATTTATCTCAAATGACGATAAAACAGTAAACCCAAGAACAACATGCAGTATTTTAACATCAGTTCATTCTCAAGATCATTGCTAGTAGAATTTTATCCACACCTTGAATTTAGACCATATCGAAAATAAATTGATTACCTTCAAGTCAATGAATAATATTATTTAGTATTCACCATCCCATGGACTATCACAAATCGCACGCTCTGATCAGCTGCTCAATCATGGTCTATTTGTGATAGACCATGGCACAGAAATTTTGCCGGTTTTGACAAGCTAAACTACAAAAAAATTGTTGTTGAATCATTTTTTGTTTTATTTTTGCCCTAAAAGTTGGTGAATAGTAAAACAATTAGACCACTCGCCCTCATGGGCTATTACTTGCAGTCCATTCGTCCTCGTGGTCTGATTGTTAATTATCACAATTTGAGAATCCATAACCCCAATCTAGATACTGCAGTATTTCACTGAAGAAATTTGCAGAAATATTCCAATTCAAAATAATAAAAAATACGGTTTTGACTGATATTGATTTCTTCTCCAAAATCTAATCTGCATAGCTGTACAAAACATTTTCTGCAAAATTCAGAGTTATTTACACAAAGACAAATATTGTTATGTTAATGGAGTATTAACAGAAAAAATGTTCAGAGTCTTGCTAAATACACCACGCCATCTACAACGTAGGGTTCAACATCTGTATTTTGGGGCTCCAGACGAGGAACGGGTCCATTCAACAGGTCCTGAAATGCCTGAAACATAATGCTGGTGGTCAAACACTCTCACTGGCAAATGCATTATACAGTTACATGTACTCGAAGTGTACTGTATATATTAAAATTCTACCCTTACATGAGAGTCAGGGACTCCAAAAAGAAAAACAAATTGTTTCATTATAAAACTCATTCTTCACATCCTCAGTGTAATTTCTTTTGTTTTAGTCCCCTGAGCCTTGGAGCCATTATGTTACAATTTTACTATAACTGAATGAGGCAGTTGAGGCTATTAAAGAAGAGAATGTAATTCATGCACGAGTATATGTAATATTCTGAACAATTTTGGCATGCATTGCCTGTGCTGCCATCCTCACTACAAGTGCTCAATGGCAATAAATGCAATTAAGTTTTGGTTTCAATACAACAGCACTCTAGACCCTATATATGAGGGCCATCATTGGAGAACCACCTTGTTTTTGTTCAATCTGGCAGGCCTAATTTTTATGTTCTGTAAATATTGCATCTCATTTTTAGTTAGATAACCCACATTGTATGTACATGTAGGGTGATGTGGGGCTTTGGCTGGATGGTTGGAAGGGTCTTTCTCTACCAGCTTTTACCCTCCCCTCTCTTCTCTCATCTTCCCTCCCACTCTCTCTTCGAGAGCAGTCAGGTATTCAAGGGCTAAGCACAGGTATTCCAGAAAACAGCACTTGTGTAAATAGAAGGTATTACACGGTGGCGAGTAGATGTGAATTATATGTTTGTTTGGCAAGAACAATATCCCAAAGACTTTCAAGGAAGATCCAAAGATGTTTCGATCATACACCAAGGAATTTAAGTATATTTTAAGAGACAAACTTGATATCAGTGAAATCATTGATATCTTCACCAGTGAGGATATGGAAAATACGCCACCTGAGTCCTGGATGTGGTTTTATATAAATTTTACGAGTGGTGTATTTTCCAGTAAAACACTCGTGTCTATATTGTAAATAAATTATGTTGCACAGCTAAGCCCCCTTGTGTGACTAACATGTGACAATGCTCGAGATTCACAAAGACAATTAATGAATCAGTGCATGGTCCCCATGGCCTTGCCGTTGCAGAAAGGAACATTATGTCCTTGTAATAAACTCTATTGACGAGATGTACATGTAATACAGCAACAAATGTACAGATTACTATGGAAAATTGGTCGATTAACATGAAAACTATACAACACACTACATGTATGTAGCAATTCTTCCCAATACTCAAATTTTATTCTACAATTTATACACTGTACATGTCTTAATATGTAATGTACCTTGCATGCTGGTTCTTCAAGTTTATTTCCCCAGATGTAAAGAGCATGGAGGGAGCCATTGCTTCTCATGGCTTTGGCTACAGCACACAGACCTTCACTGGCTATGTTGTTACTACAGATGAGCAACCTGTGAAGGAAAACATGTAAGAGGTATTTCATTTTGTTAAAAATTTCATTATTAACAAAGATGCAAGCATTCATTCTAAATAAAATTTATTGTTGATAGATTCCAAGGTGTTTTGTGCTTTTTTGTTGTTGTTGTTGTTGTTGTTGTTGTTATTGTTTTTTGTTGTTGTTGTTTTTGCTTTCTTCAGCCTGAGGTCCAGACACAAAGACTGAGTTAAAGTAAAGGTAAAGTCTGCATACAAGCCAAGTGGCCCATCAGGTCAGAGCTTATCGCAGTTTCTGTAGCATGAAGTGACTAGGAGTATTTCTACTCCGACCCCCTGGAAGGGATGCTAGTCCATTGCAGGGTTACCCCCAGCATTAAGTTTGCCGGTACCCATTTATACACCTGGATGGAGAGAGGCACTGTGAGAGTAAAGGATCGCCCAAGAACACAATGCGATGTCTCTGGCCGGGGCTCAAACCCAGACCACAGGACCCGGAGACAAGTTCATTAACCATGAGGCCACCGCACCTCCCAAGTTACAGTAATGATTGACGACTGAATTTAATTGCTGTTAGCTGGCTCAGTCTACACTGCATATAAGCTCTAATAGGGCTAGCATATTAAGGGCTCTGTGTCTTTCAATTCTATCTGTGATCACACTTGTAAATCAACAAATTAGACACCTGTTAAGTTGTCTGACATTGTTAATAGGTTGAAAATAACTCCTCAGTCTTGTCCAACAAACTGACCAACTGTTTGAAATATCACCATCTGACTGACTAACTGAGTGACCAACCTATTGAACAACTGACCAAATGGCAAAATTCCACCCACTGACTGTTGACTGGTAAATTGAACCTTTCATGTACTAAATAAATTCATATAACTGACGGGTACACATAAATAATTGAACAAAACAAGAAAGGAAAGATCTTTACGATGTAAGGTTTGTGTTGTAAGCAGCCAATGCCTCAGCAAGTGCAACAGCTCCATCATCTTCAATTCTGTTGTACGACAAGTTTAATACTTCAAGAGGTGTATTACTCTTTAACAGGATCGCCAGCTGCTTAGCGCCATCTCTTGTAATGTTGTTGCTGTGTTTAAGACAAGACAAGACAAGTGTGATCAGCCTGTATTCCCATGTTAAGTTTCAATTCAGGGCAACCAGTCAATGGAATTTTTATGTTGAAGTCGGGTTTTAAAGAGAAGTTAATTTGACATTGACATCCACCTCTGAACACTTCAGATCATTACCTTTTTAAATCTAGGTGTGTTAGGGTCAAGTTATCCATAAGGTTCTCTGTCAGTCTGGCTGCACCAAAGTCTCTCAGGTCATAGTGTGCAAGGTGGATTTCTCGTAGTCTTACATTTACCTTCAACATTAAGGCCATGTGAACTGTGGGCTCTTCCTGGAAACCATCAATAAAGGAAATGAGCTAATAATACAATTTTAACCTTTTTAGGCCCAAATTGGGCTCAAAAAAACTTGTCAAGATGAATCCCAGCTTGGCCTTTTGTGGCTTATTCATTACTCATTGATGTCATCAATTATTCCAATGTATTCATTTCCCATCAATTACTCATGGATCACATAAAAAAATATATATATATAATTATGCTGTAATTAGCGGAGATAACGTCAGTAAGGGAAGCAAGGTTATTCTAAAGTATGGACCTGACGAGCTGGAAGCTGACGTTATTGGAGTAAAATTAATGGTATGTATGTTTGTCCACTTTTGACCATAGGCTTTTTATTTGATGTTTTTGCTAACTTGTCATGTTTGTTCTTACACAGATGATCGGTCAAAACTGGATGACCAGGGACAGGAATTCTTGAAGGAACCTGCAAACGCCCATCTGTTCCCAGTCTTGGAGGACCCAGAGATTCCAAAGCCAGAGCCAGAACCAGCGCCACAGCCAGAACCAGTGCCAGCCCCACAGCCAGAACCAGCGCCAAAGAAGAGAAAGAACTCAGCTAAAGCGGGAGGTGGCGATGCAGCTACCACGCGTAAAAAGAAGGAGCCAAAACTGGTATGAAACTTTGATATTATGATTAGAGTTCACTACTAACGATAAACTAAAACTGTATCAAAATCGATCCAACCATACCCAGCTATGCTTAACCTTTCTACTCAACGCTTCTACATGTACGCTCGTGTAACGAACAATCAATCACCACTAAAATGCTTGTTGTGACTTGAAATTGCGTGTGTGAATTAAAAAAGGATTCAAATTTTTCTTCGGGACTTAGAAACTAAGAAAAGAGTAAAAGGTGTGATAACTTTGTGATGACATTGTGAGCCACTTGAATGTAGTTTTTAACTCAAAAGATTGTTTGCAAGATTACCTTTCATGATCGCTATGAAAAACATGATGAAGGTTTTTTGAGTTATAAACGTTATGTTGGGTACTGGAAAAAAAATTGTGTGCAGTAAGAGACTAAGTTATGGTAGCGAACTAGCTTACACTCTATTTTTTATAAGAATGTGTTTTATAAGAATATGGAGGCTGAAATTTGTGAAATTTTAAGAATATTTTCACAGAACTTTCAAATTTTGCCGCTAACTAAAATAACAAAGCTGATGTCTGCGATCAACGAGTTATCTGTTTCCATTTGTCTCAGCACGCTGAGAACGAAAACAAATCTCGTAAGAGGTGATTTTGGTTAGCCTGTGAATACAGACGGATTTTGGTAGGATATTTAAAATTATTCAGAGTTATGAGCATTATGATGGTGAAAACAAAATGCAAATTGGACAACGTTGAGTTATTCCCCAAACTATATTCAGAGAAAAGAAATTGGAAAACTCATGGCTGAATGCAATAAAAATGAAAGTTGCATTCATTACTCTTTTATTCTAAAATTTTCTTCTCTCCAATTTACAGGCCACTGTTGTTTCCCTGTACAAGCCACCGTAAGCTAATCCACCCCATCTGAGAGCTGTAGAGCCAGATTCACCAGCACCGATGCCGGCAGCGTCTCTGCAACCCATAGTTAGACTGTCTTCACGGATTGCAACAGTGGCATCCAGCCCTTTGCAGCGAGTGTCCCAAGTTAGACCAGTCCAACGAAGTTTGTTCGCAGCATTACCGGACAACCAGCCAGAAGTCCTTGGTTATCTAAACAAATCTGTGAGCGCCAGAAACAGCTCGCCGAACAGCAGCAGCAGACGCAAGAACACCTTGATACGTTCATTGCAGTCCCTTCCGGGTCCCCCGAACCGCTCAACGTGCCAGTCCTGCCTACATTTACTTCCTCTGTACCAGTTACTCCAGTTACTCCAGTTCCACCAGTACCGACGCTGTCTGTCCCAGATCCTGATTCTCCGACTGCATCTCCGTCGAATCTCCAACTCAGCCTGCTGACGACGACGTCATATTTCAGTTACAGTTGCGGTCAACTTCGGAAAGGAACTTCGCCACTCAGCTGCTACGGCATATGTTCACACCAAGTGAACTTGCGGGGTGCAATGTTAGGGGAGTCGGGGGCAAGCTTCCCTTAAATACTGAGAAAATTATTAAGATTAAGGACATTGTTTTTAGGTTTTTCCCAGCCTCCTTATCACAGATCATGATCTGTGTCAAATGTAACCGGAGATATCATTTTTTCAACTAGAATCTTCAGAACGCTAATTCAGACAATAAACATTTCGCAAACGACTTACCGACACGTGCCGAAACACAGATCTTTACTTGTAAGAACATGAAGTTCACGTGTTAAAATAGGGAGTTCAAGTGACTGTTTCAATTTTCTTCCCATTTTTAGTAGCTTAAGATCAAGCAAGTGTTAATAAACAGTAGTTTGTCGGTGAATTTGCGAAGTGATCCAAATATGATAGCTTTTATTGATCGGCATGACGTTTTCACAATAAGCAAATTTCGCTTTGAAGCCATTTTCATTCCCAAGGGATATAATGTCCTTTGTTTGACTAACAATGCTTCACATAAAGAAACTTATGGGAATGCATAACAAAGAGACATACGCACATATATGTGCGCGTATTGACATACGCGTATACGCAAAATACGTTAGTATGATATGCGTATGCGTAGTTCACTTATATCTGAGCTGCACTGTATAACGATTTTCCAGCATGAAGAATGTGTGTTAAAGGATTCATTGCTTGATAAAGAAGCATCTAAACTCTAACGCGAATTCTGTCGTTTTAATAGTGGCGGTGGTGGTGTTCAATCAATGCCAGTTGTTGGTTACAGTAAATGAAAAGTTTTTTTAAGAAAAATGTCTTACTGGAAATTTATCTCAGACTGTTCCATTTGACTTCGCTCCCAAAATCTCCAGAATTTTGACCTGAATGGTTCACTTTTCAGAAACTCACCAACATCCATATTTTCTGGAAACTTTTGCAGGATATTTCCTAACACTTATAATTTGTCCCCATTTCAAATTTTATGAATTTTTGGTTGAATGGAAAATGCCCATATAGCGCTTTTAATATACAACTTTTGTTTTCATACAATGTAATTTTGGTGATTTAAAGGCTCAATAGCTTTTGACAACAATTCAATTACTCATTTATCATCAGCCATAATCAATGACTAATCAGCTAATATTACCTGTTAATTACCCATTGATTACTCATTGATGTCATCATTTAGTTACATCTGGAAATAGGCAACAGTGAATCTAACACTTGGGGTAACCCTGCTATTGATTAACATTCTATCCAGGGGAGAAGTAGAAATATTCCCAATTGCTTCATTCTATGGAAACCAGAGCTAAGTTTAAGTACTGGCATGATGTGCCACTAAACTCAAAAGCAGACTTTGCCTACTGCCTTTACCTATACTGTCCTGTGATAGGTTTTTCATTTCCATGGCCCTGCATGGTTATATATACATGATCATGAGGTAGCCACACTAGTTATCAAAGGTGAAATGACTTACCTGACGAGTAAAGAGTTTTGGTCTGTTTAGATTCACTGATTTTAATGTGTTGTTAAAATTTAGAACTGTGGCCATGGCAATAATACTTTCTGTTTCCTGCAAAACCAAAAGATGAACAAGAATTTTAAATTACATGACTATGGTAAGAAAAGTGTCAAAGTTAAATCTGACATCCTTTAAAGGGTTTTTGTCAGTTCCAGTGTTGTGTCATGACAAAATCTTCAGGCATTTTAATTTGTGGTGTATTCAAGTCTCTTAACCCAATAATCAACCAATGATCTGCTTTCACTTAGATCCCCAGATGTCCTTCAGTATTTTCATTAGCAAGAGAGCAATTGGTTTGCACAGGCAGGCAAAACCTTTTTAATTGAATTTCTTTAAAAGAAAAACTTTTCTCTACATGGTCAAGCCAGGCAGGCAAAATCATCCTCACAGCCAGTCAGTTTGCCCGGTGCCCAGCCTTTCATGAAACTCCTGCAGTCCTTGGCAATCCACTCAACCTATAAGATGGCCACTTTACATGTAGAAGGCACATGTACATTACCTGGTCAGTTTCAGCAAGGTCAAGCTCTTCTAACATGGTATTAACTTGTAAAGCTCCCGCTATTGCCATTCCACCTTTGGTCTTTATTTTGTTTCCATTGAGCCTCAATTTGGCGAGTGTCTCATTTACCTGGGATAAACAAAATCAATGTACAGTTGAATCTTACATGTAAATCAGTTGCATAAGTATTAACCTATGATACCAGTGTTATAGAAATTATGCAGAAGAGCAGTCAATATTTTCAACACCATAAGACCATTTCTTGTTAACTTCATATTCAACAAAGGTTTCTGACCAATTTGAGTCCTTGTAAAGTATTTTCTACACATTGTTTGACTTGCTAGCTTATATACATTCTAATATCAATTCAGCATGAAGCAAGCAGGAAATATTGTTATTTGTAAATATTGACTTGTACAATGTATCTTACAGTAGGACACTTTAGAGTTCCCAATGCCGCTGAATGAAGTTACAAATATAGGTCTCCAGGAAAGCACTTAAGCCTGAGATATTCAACAATGCACAGAGTTGTACAAGTACATAAATAGTTCATGTTCTCACTGCTGTTTACATTGATTTTTTTTTTTCCTTCAGATTGAGATCACCACTGTACAGATGGGTCTTATATCCCTGTAACATCTAGAGTAAGTGGTCGTCATTACCTGCAATCCTTTTGCAATTGCCTCCCCTCCAGCAGACCCAATATCATTGTAACTTAACACCAACCACTGAAGACAAACTGTCTCCTGTAGCAAAAAAATATGAAGGGTTAACTCCAAACAAGTCAACAAAACAACAAACATTCAGGGACAAACATGTATGTAGCATTTTACAGTGGAGGAGGGCAGTACCAGGTCAGAAAATGGAACTAAACTGGCATTCTCCAAGTCAAAATGTTAAACACTTCTTGTGTCTTATGGGGGACACTTCAGAACCCCCTTGAGTATTCCCCTTGAGTATTCTGAGTGAGAATTGGGCACCCTTAGGGCTGCCGCTCTCCCCCCCCCCCAATATGGCCTGGTACTGGGTTTAAGGCCTATTAAAGACTGAAGCAACTTAGTTGGCCCTTTTAAAGTTTGTTCTCAACTCTGACACATTGAATTACACACAAAATGTGAAATCAATGGGTGAAGTGTATGGGTCACACCCAACTCAACATCTGCTTTTGGTTTACAGATACCTGAAGTAGTTGACCTAGCAGCTTGGCACCATCATCTCCAATTGTATTGTATCCTAGATCCAGTCCAATGACAAACGTGTTGCTCCTTAATGTTTTGTACAATATATCAGCATCCTACATATGAATTAAATGAAAATGAATTTTGATTGAACTATTTTACTTTAATGATATCAGTGGAGGTACAGAGGCTTTCTAAGTACATCAAACTCTATGCTGTGTACTCCATGTTTGAGCTGGTGTATGGCTGGATACTTGTAAGCTAAGAATAATGATTCAAGTGAGTTTCAGATGACATTCAACATGTTTGAGGAAAATCCTTGTTCCTAAGTCAATGTATCATTTAGAAAGCCGAAGAAATTTGCAAAGCGTGAGTGTCGGGGAATGAGTTGGGCACTTGTCAAGTTTGTTCTTGTTTATAAATGTACTACTCAATAATATTGCATGTTCCCTGACCCTGACCCTGTCTGACCTTTTATTACTCTCACTGTGTCTCTCCACTTTGTAGTTTCTACAAATTGGTTAAATCATGGTCAACAAAACTTACTTTCCTTTCTGAAGATAAATTTGTGTGTGTTTGTTTCAATTGAATATAATTATATTATAATTACAATAAATCTCTTAATGATTCAGGAACTAAGTTGAAACCATAGGCATGTAATTTCAATTGATAAAAAGACAGGTGATAGAACAAAGATCATCCTTTAAATCTTGGCATTGATTTATTTCCCACGAAGTTCTTATAATTATCGTTCAATTATTTATTTATACATTTATTTGTATTTCTTGGATAAAGCCTGGATATTGCTCTTTAATATTGTATGTGACTGTGAAAAGAATTCTCAAAACCAACAAAAGGAACTGCTAGGAATATACCTCATCAGTCAGTCTTCTCCTGTACATTTCATTGCGTTCATTCCGTTTGTTACCATGTAAATGCAAGTCAAACTCTATAATTGGCTCCCTGTTGACAAATTAAGAGACACATATAAGGGGCTATACAGGTCACACTACATGAAAAATGACATCAAGCTACTTCATGGAAGACACATCTTGAAAAAATTGGCTAGTAACTTTTTCAAGTTTGTTGTTCATTAGTCCATCCAAATCTGTATCTGCCGTACACATACGTGACTATAAATGTATGCATCCTTTCATATTCTTTTACAAATATTTTGGTTTTCTTCTGCCTTAAAAAGTATTACTTTTAGTTTCTGTTACTTAGCTCTTATTAACCGAGCAGGAGGTCTGTATGGGAGAATCTTGACCGAGGTAGTGAGTACAGACCGAACACAGTGAGGTCTGTACACGTGACCAAGGTCAAGATTCTTCCATACAGACCAACTTAGCTCCGTTAATAAGATGTTTATGATATGGCAAAGAAGAAAACTTTAATTCGTGTAATGCAACTGGTTGCTCGTGAATGGTGATGAGCTTAACTTAAACCTGCCGAAATTTGCTTGTCCTCTTTACTTTTTTTTTTTTTCTGTCATCAGGCTCTTTGGCACTTCCATAAATGATTGAGAAGAATAAAAGAAAACAGTGAACATTTTTGTTTTTCAGTTTGCTACTTTTTCAACGCAAAATAAACTGGTCTAGATGCCGGTCTATTTGGGAAAATCTAGACCGTGGTCAATATCGATTTCAGCCAATCAAATTTGTGAATTCAGTAGTTCCCAGTCCTTGTGAGACACAGCCATATAATAAATACACTGTACATGTATAGCTCCCCTGGACTCCCATATAAAAAGGATGGGGTGCTCGTTGAAAATTTTAAAAAGAACCCCTAAGAGGTACCAAGGTCCTGTTTTGTGGGCGTGGCTTGAAATTTTGTTCACCCCTAAGAGGTATCAATTCTAAAACAACACATTTATCTTTGGTCATATTTTTTAGGCTCAATACTCTAAAAGGTAGAACTGCAAAAGTTCCTGCTGTGGACCTTTTGAGGCTGTCAACCCTAAAAGGTACCAAAACCACATTTTTAAACCCCTAAAAGGTACAACAAGTACCCCCCTTTTTATATGGCAGTCCCCCNAACATTATTGGTTTCCCTTTAGTTACATATGTGGGAGGTGTGGTAGCCACATGGTTAGTGCGCTCGTCCCCGGATTAAGCAGTCCGGGTTTGAGCCCTGGCCGGGGACTCTTTGTTGTGTCATGACCAAGGTTATTACATTCTGTCCTTGGGAAAGACACTTCTCTCTCAGTCCCCAACTAGGTGTATAAATGGGTTCAAGTGAATTAAGTGCCAGGGGGGTAACTGATGGACTAGCATCCCATCCAGGTGGGAGGGGGATATACCTAGTCTCTTACTGCTACGGAATCCAGCAAACTTTATGCTGCTATGCATTTAAGATTATATCAAAAATAAAATAGGTAATTTTTATGTTAACCTTCATGATAAAAACAAAATTATTTTACATAACTAAAATCACCAACCATCATTACAACAATACAGGGATTAACTATATCGATTATTCCTGCATTCAACATGTCAACAGTTTTTGCTTTTAATTAACACAGTCTCCATTCCCTTTTGCAAGATGTGGATGACACTTAATTTCTTGTGTTTATGTTAGCTGTTACATTTATTGTTTTAGGACAACCCACTGATTGATCTACAGGTACATGTATTTATGAACAGTCTACACAATGTAATTTGTCTGTTTAAAGTACTTCAATTCCATGGCTTCCAAAACCTTTCTACACTTATCCCATGGAATAAACCATGCATTACAGAAGAACTAGATGACAAGCTATAAATGAATCTGTACGGACTCTTACTTTTGAAGGAGAGATTAAATTTCCACCCTCACACATTAGGGCAGAAAGCATCTCTTGAAAAAAAAAGGAAAGAAATGAAATCTTACTCTGTCAACCAAGTTATGGATTTCAAGGTTGAATGCTTTGCATATGCATTCAAAACTATTGAGTCAATATAAATATACTGTATATTGGAGTTTAATTGTATTATCAGAAAACAAAGGTTATGTCGGTGGAAAATTGAATTCATTTAATCAAGCTAGCTATTGATCCAAAATTTGACCCTTGAGAAATCTAAGCCTTTCAACCTCTGTAAACAATGTTGTGGTTTCCAAGCAACCAAAACGACAAATGATGTGTTTTTGTTTTTTATAACGCCTTTCATTTGTGTGTTTCCTGGATTTCTGCATTATTAATACAGTTACCTTTGGAAACGTCAATATTCATTTGCTACGGAAGAGAGACGCGATTCATGTGCTAATGTTTCATAATTAACCTTGTCAACGATGTCTCGTGCGATGTCTGCTTGCCGTATTTCCTTCCAAACTTACAAGATTCAGAAGATTATATTTGATATCTTCCTTGATTAGCCTCTATTTCTTCCTTTCCCTTACGTAGACCAAGAATTATCCGAACCAAAAATTATTATAAAACTATGGCTGATGGTAAAAGCAATGAAGCGAAAGAGATTAAGCTTATATAAGTTAAGTTTACAACTCACAGAAAACTGTCGTCCACTGCTGAATTCAACACAGCTAAGATCTCCACATCGGCCTCTCTTCCCAGATCAGCGCATACTTTAAGGTAATCTTCCTTAGTAGCGGTAGCGTCGCTCATCGTTGCTGCTTGTAGAAAAGGGATATATGATCAGATTTGCAGCTATATTTTGTATTTTTTTTTTCTGCCTTCAAGAGTTCACAAAATTATTCGCGCCATCCGCGGCCATTTTGAATGCGTTGCTAAGCAATGATGCCTCGTTTGTATTTCAGAAACTTTGGCAATAACCTATATTTTGATTGGCTGTACTGATAGTTTCAACCTTCAAACCAATCACATTATTTATAAGAAAGAAAAAGGTAAATATTTACTCGTTGCCACGACAACATGTAGCAACTCGTGTTTTGTCTCCAAGACTGCTCTTGTCTTGGGTTAATGAAGCCCTACTTATAATGCGTGCTTTGCCTTAGATAGGAAGTTATTGATTTATCGCAATCTTCATCGTGAGTACATGCCTATATAATTTTAACCCCTAAGAAATTGCGTTTAAAACATGACGATTAGAGCTGAAGAAGAGCAAGAGACGAAAGTGCACGCGGCTGCTCGGTTGAATAATGTCAGGTTGCTTCGAGCTGCCCTTCGTGAAGGATTATTAGGTATTGACGCAGTAGGAATAGGTGGCTGGACAGCCTTACACCAGGCAGCTTCTTGCGGCTATCTAGAGATCACGATCGCCCTTCTGGAAAATGGGGCAAACCCGAATATCCAAGATGGTCAAAAATGCACGCCCATTCATCTTGCTTCTAGAAATGGTCATTTAGAAGTTGTAAGAAGTCTGTGTCGCAATGGAGCGCGCTTGGATTTGAGAAACGCTGAAGGAAGAACGCCACAGGATTGTGGCAACGAGGAGTGTAGGACATTTCTTGAGAGGCAACGTGAGTGAGAGATTCTTAATACAGTCTTAGCCACTGAAATGAAACAGTTCGATGCATATTTTGGGTATTCGTATAAATCAAAGGGAGTTAATATTTGTAGTAGCATGAGATTTTAAGATACGTCGCTCTGAGACATTAAAAACTGGTTAATTGTGAAGGAAAAGGATATCCAGCGAGCAAATAGATAACTTTTTGTTTGCTATTTGCTATTTTGAGAATTCAGTGCAATATTTTTAATTCGAGCACGTACGGTCAATCGCGTTTTGCCAGAGCGAAGGAAAACCGATTTGATGTTACTTTTAACTTTGCGTAATTTTCCAGAAAAAGGGACTCGTATGTGAAAGGGTAATTATGATAATTCAAAGCTAGGGAACTGTTTAGTAACAACTGTAATTTATATATGAGGTGCGTGAATTTTCAAACATGTTAGAAAAAGCATCAATTTCATGGTTATGGCTTGTTAGAAATGAACAGTTATTATTATTAGAAGAAGAAGTTGACCAGCACGATTTCCATTGTGAATTGGCCTTGGAACCATGTGGTGATAAACATGTAACTTGCCAAAGTCTTTCAATACTGATAGTTAGATGAAAGAATGTTATCAGATGAGCGAGTAAGTGTGTACTCTATTTTGGGAATTTTGTAAAATTTCACGATATTGTCGTCTAATTGAAACGGAGTCCAACATTTGTTCTTGCGTATTCGACAAACATGGCTGGAATCGCGTGGACGAGTGCGCGCTAAGCTTCGCCATTACTGTTCTTTGTCACTGTAATGTACACAAAGGAACGAGGATCTTCACCGGTTATTTATCCAACATGAACATTCCCACGAAGTGCGTTTCGTCATTACATGTTTACCATTGCTCTCTGTGTATATTTGTTCGGATGGGGTAACGCGCTCAATATGAAGTTAAAATAGGGAGACTGTATTTTGTGCTTATTAGCTTAGCTTAATCTTTGTGTTTTATTGTGTTCTGTAGGAACTAGAGAAGTGATTAAATTAAGTCCGTCGCCCGTTGAAGGCGACCATTCTCTTCGAAAGGTAAGCTGGTTTACCGTCCTAAAATCACTGCGAGTAATTCTCATTGAAAAGCCACGCACACAGTATCAAATTATCACTGCTGTGTACGTTTGATTTAAAGTATCACATTTTTGTGTTTTTATTTGTTATTTAAGCCTACTCCCAAACTGGAAATACATGTGTATAAAGAACTGGGCAAATGTTATAATACACACTTGAACCAGTAGGATTTAGCTCAGAGTTGGAATATGGCAGCATTTTTTTTTTTTATTTGAACAGTACTTTAATATGACGTGATTCCTGGCTGTGATATTCCTATATTGTGCTTTGTATTTCACTGTGAGAAGGAATGTCTTCTTCAAAACAAAACTTGCAAAACTACTGATGTTAAACTCCTCGCAACCTTCAGACCACAAAGGTATTCTATGGTGTATATGAATTGTCTTCTAGTAGACACCAAACTGACTTAATTGAGTGTTTCTAAATTCAAGATTTATGGTCCCAAGTCAAGCCAAAGTCCAGTTTTAAAGAAAGTTAGGCAGTCATCACCACAGTGGTCAGAAAGCTCACAAAGTTCACACGAAAGCATGTCGTCAACCAGTTCAGGTATGTTTTCAGTTACTGTAATTTTTTCTTGGGTTAAATGCATCATTTAATTTKCTTTTCAAAGTGTTTAGAAATACTTTGGGTTAGGGTATTTAGAAATACTTTGGGACTAGACACAAGGAAATAATAATTATTACATGTTGAACTGATTAATATGCAAAAAGGAAAGGTGGATGTGCTATCTGAATATTTTTAGAACTCCTTTTAAATTATCAAGCAATATTATATTTTAATAAGGTATTTTTAAGGAACACCAATAGAAGCTATGCAGGATAATCCTTTGTATTTATCCCTTGTTCAAGCATATTATATTATGGTTGACGTCAATGATATCTTATTTTTAGATTCCAGTGAAAGCTTTTCTGGGTCATCAAATGTTTATCATCCAGGTAAGCTTTTTAAATATTAGACATTTTAAACCAGACAAAGTGATCCTGGTCACCCCATTTGTGTTTAAATAACCATGTAGGAAACAAGATGATTGTACAGAAACAATTCAAGACAACTTAGATGAAGGGATGGCAAAGTAGTTGTCAGTACTGTATTCACTAGTTGGAAATTAAGAAGTTTGTAGCTGAAGATTTGGAATATTTATTGGCTCTGTCAGCTTCACAGACCCTTGAACTATATAATTTCTTTTAATACTATCTGATGCAGTGAAGGTTCACTTCATATAAATCAGCTAGTGACCATTCGTAAATCATTTTTAGATATCTTCATCAAAATCCCTTGTCTCCTAGTGAAATTAAGACTGATAAGTGTTTGTTGAATTTTTTCAGGTCCTGGAGAAATAAGGGTATCATTTGATTATAATCGCAGCAGGCAGTCACTTCTTATTTACGTGGGGGAGATAAAAGATGTAAAACTTCCTGCAGGTACTGAAACCTTGTTTTCCCTTACTGTACTATGCCACAATCTTTCCAAAGAATATATTAAGGTAATTTGAAAAAGACTCCATTTCGTCTTAAAATCATGAACCATAGGAATTAAGTCTGCATGGTTGTATTGGTGTTGGAATTGTATTGTATTGGAAAAAAGTTGTGTTAGTGTATTATTTTTTATCAAAAGTGCTATTATGATATTTCTCTTTGCTAGCTCAAGGCTGTCCTAATTGTGTTTCACCTATAGAGCTGTAGAAACACAGCTATTGTGAGCTCCAGGTGTTTCCGGTTATTTTCAAAATTGTCAGTACTGAACACTGCAAAAGCTGAGAGGTGAATTAAAGATGCCTGTAGATATAATTAAATCAATAATGATCCTTTACTTTCTAGATCACAACATGTCGCATGTCTATGTAAAGGGCTACCTCATCCCCGACAGAAACAAGTCCACAAAGCGTAAGACGGCTTTGCACAAACTGCAGCGCATTGATCCAAAACAAAGTTTAAATGACAGCGTAACTAGCTGGAATAGTGAAGAGGCTGAGCATGAGAAACCTCGAGAAAGAAGAATGAGTCAAAGATTAGTGTCTACATTGAAAAGAGGAACCCGCTCATCCCAGAAGAAAAAGGGACAAGATCATGGTAAGAATTAATGAAGCTAATAATTCTCCCTATTCAGGTATCTGCTTATTATTTGAATGGCTGGTACTGTAGTGAGATTTTGCTTTAATATCAGGTGGAAATAAACACCATTCTAAACAAGATCTTAGGTTGGTTAGTTATTGATTGTTATTTTTATTAAAAAATTTACTCTGATTCGTATGCAAGGCTAAGACCTTTTAAAGAAGTCCATGACATAATATTTGGGGTAAAATGATACAAGGCTATGAACTAGAAAAGAAAAATAATTGTAAGAAAACTGAAAGTTTCAACCAACTGCATCATGACAATAAAATGACAATAGGTCAAAAACATTCGGTCATTGATGGCAATAAGAGTTGAAAATGTTCTGATTCATAATAATTTTTGTGTTGGTGGTGATACAGATCAAAAGATTAAAAGTGCAATTGTTAATTAGGCAGTGTTATTTCTATTAACAGCACTACAAAACCTTGTTCCTGTTTACCGCATATCCACATTGTATGGAGAGTACTTTCGTTATGACGCAGCCGACCTGAGAAAGGTGAATGTGGAGAGGTCCACTGTTCTGTTAACAGTATGCGGTCGCAATCGCGTCACAACCCAAGGACAGCCTATCGCATGCCTGTCCCTACCTCTTGCCGAGTATGCCAAAATGAACTCAGCCGAATGGTACCCCCTGAAGTATCAAATTTTGTTGCCCAGTGGCTATGACGTCGCAGAAGATATGCAGTCAATGAGTGGAAGTAAATCATGGGAGGAAAAAGGTATGTACAAGGAATGCTTTGCGTTGACTACGTTGAAATGTTCTAAAATTTGCTCTTTCTACCTTGAATTCCTTGCTAATAAAAAAATTACTACAATTGACACACTTCATCAAAGCCTAGACCTGCTAAACTAAAAGCAAATGTTTGTTTCGACCTTTGGTACTAGGAATTCCTGCTCTTTTCGCGCAACTCAAGTTTCAGAATTGCTGACAGTTTTCTCATTTCCAGCTCTGGTTATTTACGTTCTGGGGTTTGGTTTTGCTATATTGGTGGGTTAGTGAATCATTACATAGCATTGTATTTTTAATTGATACTCATTGCCTTCCGTTTCTTCCAATAAGCCTGGCTAAAAACCAGTTCTTTCAGAATTCCTCTCTTACCATTGTGTTTGGTGTTTCTTTTTAGGGGGAAGGTGTACTGGACGAAGCCTGGCGTGGAATGGGCCCACAATGTCTATGTCAATGCCTAATATAGATTTTGCTGCGTCATCGGCAACGTCACAGAGGCCTCAACGTGTTAGCCTGGGAGCGGAGCGTGGATTTCCTGCAGACGGTTCCAAGATGTACAAGAAACACAGTGGAGCGGAGAAGATGTCGAGAAAGGAGTTCAACAACGTGCAAGGCAAAGGAAATTACAGATACAGGAAAAGTGGCTCAAGACAAGAATATGAAGACGAAGAAACTGTTGTAGACAGTTTTGGCGTAGATGTTGGGGAGCGCAGTGCAACAATACCAGGAGCTGGTCGTGCCGGAAGCGATTTCAACAGAACCTTTAGGGAACAAAACAGAGACATTGCTGAACTCCCCAGGAATAGAATGCATGGTGGAAGGAGAAGCACAGCAAGTAACATGGACTTAAATGACTATGAACGTGCAAATGGCATAACGGAAGTAATCAGCTTAGAAGATGAAGAACCCAGTTCAAGACCGGAATTGGAGCATCGATCATCATTCGCTGGCTCACTGAAATACAGTCGAGCTTTCCAGCAAAACGCCTCTGCAGCGCGGAGGCGAGACATGTCGGATGACTTGGACGTGGAAGACTTTGAGGATGTTACAGACACTCCATTTGCTGTTAGTAAATTTCACGGCCGCAAAAATGGAATCGTATGTAATTAGCCATTCTTTGTGTTAAGTTCCCAACTCAGAAGTAAGAGTACTTATTCATAAATTAAAACTGCATTGTCACATACGTGTATACATTTATATAGGAGCATTGTTAACTGAGAAAGATCTAAATTGTTTCTGTTAACCTGATTTTTAATACTTAACATCTACAGTGTGAGCGATAAAAAGTAGTGTTCGGTCATTCCAACTGTTTTGTAAGAAAGTCGTGTGTTATGCTGTTTGATTGTTCACAAATAAGTTTCCCACTTTTTTAACAATTGCGGCAGTGTTGGCAGTAATTCATTAGTTTTTTAATGCAGGTAATTTATAGGATTAATTTATTACAATTTCGTTCAAAACGGAGATTATTTGAATATCAAGAGAATTAAAGTTAAGGTTGTTTTTTCAATCTTAGATAATTTAGGACCCTTTGTTTGGGGGTTTGTGTAACTTCAACTTGTAAAAGTTCATTTCACATGTAAGGATTGTTTGCAAATAAAGATTGCTTAATCAACCTGTTGCGATTCTTGTATCGTGGGAAGCGCGAAAAAGAAACCAAATCTCGAGAAATTGGTTTTGTCAGAAATAAGACAGTTCCACGTTGGGAAGTGATGCTTTAATCCAGGCCCCAGTTGTTCGAAGACTGGATAGCGCCACGCACCGGCCGGCTAAATCCAGTGGACAAGTGTTTCCAAAACAAACCACACTACAGTCGAACTGGAACCTCGATTATCCGTACCTCCATTACCTGGACATTTTCTGTAGTCCCAATTTTGTCATGAATATTTACTAGTCATGATCACGATCCGTAGCAATATTCTTTTTAAAACTATAGCAATGAAAAGTGCAGTCAAAAGCTAGTTTGTTTTGCTTTTAAAGATTAAAAGCAGCGTTCGCACGCACGTACGCGTCGTAACTAATGAACACTCGAATTAGTTTTGATTGACTCAGAGTTGAGTGGTTCAAAATGTACAGTAGACCATATTGTTTTCCAAACGATTTGTAAAGTGTTGTTTCACGATTAAATTTTGCTGTATTTTAACAGTTTTGCTCTTCAATATTTATATTTTCAATTATCCGGAACCTTCGTTATCCGGGCTATTTCGTCTAGTCTCAGCGAGTCCGGATAATCGAGGTTCGACTGTATCCAAGGGATAGTGATTTATCCGGTGGATAGCGTTATCCACCTTCGAATATCCCGGGCCAGGACGGGATAAAGAAAGGTTTTGCCCTCGTGCAGTTCAATGTTAGCAACCATGTTATAGTGTTTCCTCATTGCACTTTGTCGAACAGTCGGATCCCTGTTCATAAGTCATGTCGTGTCATTGATGTAAGACTGGGTAGCGCAAAAGAAAGAACATCAGGAGAGCAAAATCTGCCCCCCGTGTTCATTAGAAGTACTGCAGAACAGAGCATCAAACTCGGCTGCAGCTTAGTGCTATTAGTACCCGGGGGGGAGTACTCCCAGAAAAATTGGGTGGGGGTGTACAACCCAAAACCCGTACCCTATTTATGACCAAAATCTGCGTTTTTCTCAACTACCCTACTTATGAACCGACCTAAAATTCGAAACCCTATTTATGACCTGACCCTTAAATCAAGACCCTGTTTCAGACCTGCCTTATAATTAGTTCCCTTGTTCAGACCAATGTTAAATTGCCGTAAACATGATTTGTGAAGGGCTTTTGTTGATTTTCTTACCGATAATAGGGAGTTTACGAAACCACGACGGCAACGGCAACGGGAACGTCACTGAACAAAAGAATTAATTAGCAGTACAATGGCTGTGCACGTGCGCTATAATTCTTGGTACATTTAGCTGAAAGTGATAAACAACGTAAATGACTTTAGAGTATCGCGAGGTTCGTAGGTAAACTACAAATTCATTTTTTAATCGACGTTGTACTCGGTGTCGCCGTCGTGATTTCGTAAACTCCCTAATGATGAAAAAGTGGCAGTCCTGAGCAGACTGCAATATAGACTCCATCTGCACTGTGCTATCCGAACTCAGACACACAGTTTCCTTTTACATGGACAGCGAGGTCCGTAAAAGAAAGACCGAGGGCCGATGTTCTCCCAGTACGATCACAAGCAAACTTGGTTGATGTTTAGGGAAAATGCCACGATCACGGACTGGGCAAGCTCGCAATTCTGATTTAGAGCCGACTAAACAAAACAGGATGAAAACAGACCTAAAAAGAAAAAAGCAAAACCCGGAAAACAAATGCAACCGTGATATAGTGAAAGCAAGTTCTTTCAGAAACGTAGGCCATAAAACTCCCAAGAGTGATCTTGTGGCATCATTCGATTCCTAGTACAGCACTTAGATAACATTGGACGGCAATCAGGTCAATCAGAAGCAATCTGATAAGTTGGTTTTAGTCTTGGCCTTCTGAAATAAGTTAGTCGTGTAAAAATAACTTAGGCCCTGTCCACACGTATCCGGATATTTTTTAATCCGCATCTTTTTTCATTCCGGATACGGCTTCAGTCCACACGTATCCGGCGAATTCGGCAGCGAATCCGGCCGAATATTTTTTAATCCGCTCTCCAGAGTGGAAAAAAATAAGTCCGTAACGATCGATAACGTGTGGACGGTTAATCCGGATATTTAATTTGCGAATCCGATGACGTAAACAAATAATAAACCAATATGGCGGCACAACGTGTAGGCCTAGTTTCTCTAGAGTGAATCCGGATACCATCGGATGCGTGTGGACAGGCGAATTCGATTTGAATACGCCACGTGTGGACGGGGAAATTTTTTGAATCCGAGAAGAAAAAGTTGTGGATTAAAAAAT